AAGCATGATTACATGTTGGTAGCATTTGGAATATCCATATCTAGAAACTTTCCAAATTTCCAGGATGTCATTGGGATTAACTATTTTAACTAAAGATTGCAAATTAAGTTCACAGTCCTCATCGGCTTCAACAGGAATTTCAGAGTTGTCATCCACTTCATCAAAAATTGGTTCAAATGAATCATCATCCGATGTTGAAATTTCCGATATTTGCACTTTATAAGAATGATAACAAACAGATTGACACATTTGCTTATAATGTGCATCATGAATTGGTGGTGTAACATATTTTTTTAAAGTCTCATTGATGCTACTAAAAAAGGTTTGAGTTACAAACGATTGCATATACTGCAATGTAGATACTTTCTAAATTGAGTATCAGTTATTAACGAACTCAAATTCAAGACGATTTTCAAGTACCTCTTGAACTTCTAAAAGGGAAAAAGTCAACTGCACAGCTTTTTTTATAAGTAAATTTTCTGACTTAACACGCTGAGTAGACTGTATGTCTGCTGTAAAATGTTGAGATGTAAAACACTTAACCCACGAATGTCTCCGATTTAATAATATTGTAACTATATATTTTTCTTCCACAACATATTTTTCAGCTAGACCTTGGGATCTTCGTTCGAATACACTTTCACAATGAGACCTTTGAATACTCTTAAAGTCCTTAAGAAACTCTTGATAAAGTGGACCAAGGCGTGGGCGAAGATTCTTTGAAAGGTTTTGGTAAAGATGGTATAAGCATTGTATGTGATGTGATTTAAGAAATACTATAGAAGCAGCTGCAATCATTGCAAGATCTGCATCGGTTACAAACGTTAATGGGGGAATTTCACATGCATCTAGACAACATTTAAGTAACCACTCATATGTTTCCTGCCTTTCATCCTGTATAAGTGCTTGAGCAGCTAGTTTGCTTCTATTATAATTATCAATTAGAATAAATAAGCTTAATGGATAATTATATTTGTTGGTTCTTGCAGTATTATCGTAAATAATAACATCATAAAACTTAAGCCATCTTTTGCATTGCTCTGGTGACATCCAAAAAATGCCAATTAGTCGATTACTTGTGTCATCTATTAATGGTTTCACAAACTATGCAGGATCATAAGCTTGAAGCTCAAAAAGTTTCAACAACAAAGATGCAGCGTCACCTAGATTTAGATCCTTTTCCCGTTTAATTTTTTAAATAGTGTTACCAAGGTCTTGGGTAAGAAAGATCCGATCAGGGTATAAAGATGCAGCGTCACCTAGATTTAGATCCTTTTCTCGTTTAATTTTTTGAATAGCATTACCAAGGTCTTAGATAAGAAAGATCCAATCAGGGTACTTAGGTTGGAGAAGATTTCTAATTGTTGTCGCATCACATCTACTATGCACAACATAAAACTCAATTTGATCCAGGATTTCTTCAGAAAAAGTCTTATAAGCGACAGCAAATTTTAAGGTTTCAGCAACAATTTCATGATTATGATCATTCTTAAAGGTTGTTACGATTACCATTGAAGAATTTGACTGTCGTGTTATATTTATTTGCCATTTGCACCCCTGCTTTTTACTTCCCTTATTTGTTTGCTTACCCAATGCTGGTTTTGAAAGTTTCGCACAATATCTCCCCCTAGATCACATTTAAAAACTCTCTTTCTACAGGTACTATCCTTAGATTTCTCACTTTTATGTTTAAACACAGCAAATCGATTTTGACGAGCATACTGTTCTACAAAGTGGGCAGCAACAGATATGGAGGGAAACCAGGTACCCACTTTGATCTCAATTGGTGTATCAATTAAAGGCAATTTTCTATTATAGTTTTCAAATTCAGAGTCTAACAAATCATCAGCAGTAGTTAGTATATTTTCATCAGTTAATATGTCCTCTAACTCATTAACATCAGAAAATTCACAAGAATTATCTTGTATAATTTCGCAAGACATAATGACAGGTGCGATAAAATAAAAAGCAAGAAAAATAAAACACAGTTAAAAAAAGAAAGTAAAGCAAAGTATAAAGTATATTGTGTCATATTATTTTCTTTCCAATCAAATTATTGTAGTATGAATAATAAAACACAGGTTAAAAAAAAAAGAAAAAGTGGGTTAGTAAGTAAAGAAAGTAAAGCAAAGTATAAAGTATATCGCATCACGTTATGTAAGTAAAGAAAGTAAAGCAAAGTATAAAGTATATTGCGTCCCGTTATTATTTTTTTCAAATCAAATTATTGTAGTACAAATAATGTAGATCATTATTATATATCACGAATTTGATTGGTTGATCAATCACGTGTTATGCAGGGTGAATAATTCACCTGGGTGATGAATAAATTTGTCTTTTATAGATTATATATTTTGTATATTTGATTATATATTATATATTATATATATGTGTAATGTGATCACTCAGCTGAACCATGTATTCATGATAAAAATTACGTAATAAATAGCATGCCCCTAATTAACTGACTCAATCTTATATTTACTACACATCAAATTCTTTTACCTTTTAATTATATTGCATTATCTGGAAACAGTACCTCTATTCCTAT